ATCCAGATTGACACACACTCCATGGCTACACATAGGAGCGAGAGATGAACATGTTATACAATTATAATGCTTTACTCCGCTGTCGTCCGTTGTTCTTGGCACCTCTTTGATATCCGATTTGGACATACGTGATGCTCTCATTTTTTCAAATGATTTCAATGGACTTAAATTATGTATAGACACAATATAAAGGCTTGCTATTGCGATCATTAGTAAAATCCAACTAAAGTATCGTTTACTTCTCAGTCTGGTGACACTCCCTCGCATCAGGCTGTTGTCATCCATTCCTCCAGCTTATTTTATAGAGTGCTTCGTTTAGTCCGTTATCGCAGGTATATGATTTGTGTACACAATAAGTCAATAATGATGAAATATTTTGTTTTCAATAAGAATGTTTACTATAGTAGATACTAATAGTACATTTAAAGTAACCCAGCCTTCCTGTCACTACTACAAAGCACGCCCATTCCCGGACCTCATTATTATCGCGAGGGCGTGAGTAAGAGAATCGTAACAGCAACACATTAAGCGTAATGGATGTCATCAATATACTATTTTTTAGGTCACATGTCGCCTTGTTTCGTCGTTCGTTATGTGGTCGCTCGCATGCATGGCCAACTTTTTGTATAATCACTACTGCACCTGCTATGATTGAAAGGGAGGCAACACACAGACAACCACTGGATAGAATAATCATATTGCTTACATAAGGAAATAACAACATACAGTGCATTTGCTTGGTATAAGGTGTTTTACAAGTAACACCCCCTCCACCCCACATGATTTATGAACATAGCAAGCATCATCAACAGGAAAATGGGTATTAATCACTTTAACATCCTCATTTTGTCTTATTGCGTACATCTTTTAGACGGAAAATGAAATGATAATGAAATCGTACAATGCGGCCAGACAAACTAAAAAAACTCCTAACCTGGAAATATTTATATGCCTTGCTTGTGTCCAAGCAAGTGGAGATGTAAACAATAAATCATATGCGTACTTTATCATGATTTTGTTGATAAATGCTCACCTGACTGACGAACTAATTGATGACCAGATATATCTTTTAACACATGCCTGCACAGTGGTATGTTGGAGTTGTTGCCCTTTCGAACATAGTTGGTTTCACTTAGATTACATAATGAAAATTGCAGTTCCAAGTTTTTATTAATGATTTGATATAAAAAATTAATTAAAGTCATTTTGAAGAATAAATTTGCATTATAGGCGATACAGGTGAATCTAAACTTGAATTATTACCGGAACATATTCTGATGACACTTTTAAATGGTACACAGAAAATTAAAAAGAAATATATAATAATCTTATGATTGTTTACAGTTTTAAAGCAACTGAAGTCAAATTACATGAGCAGAGAAACTACGTTTGATATTTTCAATGATATGGTGTTTTCTTTTAGATTGAAAAAAAAATTGTTAAATAATTTTCTTGAAAAGGAAAAATCATTTAAGTTGTAAAGGGGAGAAGTGTCTGACACAAAATGTATAGTCTTATCCGACCGATCAATTATTGAGTTATATGCTCCACCATCAAATGTACACAAGGTTGAAATAATTTATTCACTTCCGGGTCTGGCTATTACCGGTATAACTGTGAAGGTTAGTGTGGTATTATTGAAGAATTTACAAATGAAACAAAAGTGATAACACATTGTAACACAATTTTGAATTAGATACACTGGAGCAAAGTAAAGAATTAAACCTCATGATACAGTTGTATCATCCTTTTAGAACTTTTCATTGATGCTAAGGGCCTAATATCTAGAACCTTAAAAGGCGACAGAAAGTAATCGAAAGAAATGTCCAAATGTTGATTGGGAGACAAACAAGCCAAGTAATACAATATATCTAATAATTATAATTTTCATTTGCCTGATAATTGCAAATGAAAGCACATGTTTATAGTATGTGAACCGTGATATGCAGGTTACGGCAAAACTTGGGACGTAAATGTCAGCAGTAGTGCCAAATATTGAAGAAAAGAAAACTGCGTGATACGTCTGTTTCGTCCCTCTCGTCAGTGCTGTTAACGGTTTTTTTAAACCTGGAAGCCGGCTGTGAAAAATCCGAAGTGATAAAAAAATTATAAATATCTATTAATTCAATTACATAATGATAACTTGAATCAGTGAACCTTTCGCAAATTAAAAAAGAATGAAAAAATCTGCTATTTAAAGCTGCTTTGATATTCTGGGTTAATGTCATTAAGAATATCATTTACTGGATAATTGAATTAGAGTGTTCGAGTTACCTTTCTTGCATAATCTTAGTTGCCCCAATTTTATAAACACACGGATTCCCTATGTGCTTTTCAAAGGCTTCAACAAGTCTATACAAATATGTCACCATCTTATTGACTGTTAAAGATTAACGTTATTGTGGAACTCCACTTGTTATGAAGATTTTTTGCTTTAGTTTTCAATGGAATCTTTTCGACAACATTCTTATCAAGATTTAAACTAGTTGCATCATCTTTATATTTGGATAAATGACGCTGTATCCAACTTTGAACAGTTCTGAAGCCAGGAAGTATCAAAGATTACTAAAGTTACAAGTAAATCAGACCCGTCCGCAAACATTGGAATCAAGGTTTGAAGACAGTTAGTATCTATGCAGGTAAGACAATTTCTGATTGTGACATAAATCATCACAAATTAAACCCAGTATTGAAGTAATTAGTACTTTAGAGTATGTACATTACATTTAAAATCTATATAATATTCATGACAGTAAATGTAATTAAATAATTATGTTGTGAGCTTATCATAATGTTCTCTGTATACTCGAATAAAAGAAGGCCACTGTCAACATTCGTCGCAAGGACAATAAAGCCAAGACGTACTTATTGATGTAGCAAGGAAGGTGTGCATATATATATTTCTGTATGCATTTTTGTCACCAATTTAGGACTATACAGAGTCATTTAAGAGCCAGAAGTCTGGAAATTTCTATAAAAAGCCTTACAATTTGGTATAGGATCATTTCGGAAGCGAGTAAAGTCAAAATAATGACACCATTAGGGAGAACCAGATCCCCCTGGACATATATTGTAGCATTGAATTATTTGGTATACAAGACAAATCTCAACATAATGTGGTTGTCGTTGTTGAATATTTTATACGTTATTGACGATGCAATGAAAATACAATATGAACTAGGAATAGACCTAGGTGTATTTGTATAAAATAGCACTAACACAATTTCTTTTATAAATACATTTAATTTTCAAGTTGCCAGCAACTTTTGCAAATTTGCCAACACATCACATTGCATAAAAGAATGTACAGAGATAACTAATTATAAGTTGGTGAAATAAATGTTAGTTTGTTATATATGTCACACTGACCAAATTAAGTCGTTCCAACAATACGTCGTAATATCTGAGACAGGTCAATGAGACGAAATCAGCAACACAAATACCATTCATGTCAATTAATGATGTAACGATGTATTATTTCTTTTGTCAAATTATCGAGTTACAACACGATATCCCAAACATATTACGTGTCGCACGGATGTGTATGGTTTTCCTGTAATGAAGCCTGACTATCCCATCCTGGCCCACGTTGAATCTTAATATGATTGACCAAAACTGTTTGGAAACAGCAATATTGAAACACTGATTTACATCGCTCAACTGGAAGGTGAACACATATCAGCAACGCGTTTAATTGAACATCCCTTATACTTACGTCAGTACGAAGTAAACCCATTCTACAGGGTGTGACCGTGAAGATCAGATACATACTAGATACCTGAAATATCTTAAATATCTGTATATTGTTAATGAAATACTGAAATAAGACTTATGACAATAGCTATACGGCGTTCAGTTGACCATGTGTTAAACAAGTATTTTAAAACAACGAAACAGATATAAGATATAAAAGTACCAAAGGCAAATTTGAACGCGATTTAAAAAAAAAATAGGAAAAAAAAAAACAAAAATCAAAACAAAAACAAAAACCACGGTATAATTATTCTCGCATTTTTTAAAGTTCAGTATCAATACCATTTCACACACGAGAACAGTAAGTTAGGAATATTTAATCAACTACGCTTTCTGAGTAAGAAACGTGTGTAAACATTATCTGAAAACATATCCGAACATTCGATAGTAGAAAACAAGATTTAGAAATACTGGCAATAGTGCGATGGAAAAAAGATTCTGTTTAACGTACGATAAATTAAAGTAACATTTTCTATCAGAAATTAAGAATGTCATACTTATTAAGCATTGATAAGTAATGCTTTCATTTTATACTAGCTTCACTGGATCAGGAATGTACAATATAGACAATGGTCGTCAGACATTATGATCAGTGTGATTGATATGTTCGATTTGTAAATATCACTAGGGGAGGCCTTACATCGACAACAACCAAACAATGCCAGGGGAGTTTATTTCTGCAAACACATTTGAACACAAGGTACAGTATTACTATCACACATACAAACATTTTCTGTCCATCGTTATAAAGACCGGACGGTACACATCGCCTTAGGCAAGATCGGATCATTTTTATGACAATGTATCACGACTACACGTAATCATCTAGTCCTGCTAGAAAGTGGTATAAGTCACGCTTCTTTAAGAGACGTGTGGGGTTACCTGTCACATAGCTTACTCTTTTGACCTTGCAGATGTACACCAACTATACTCCCCTGTCTATCACTCTATCAGCATAATGACTTTTTGTTTCATTTAGATATAAATAAAACATATGACGAACATTCACTTACTTGATTAATATAAAATTTACGTTTGGGTTAGGGTTGAAATTAGTATATCTTAGACATGATTGCAATTTTTGAATATAACAAACTTCACGAATTATTTCTTAGTAAAGCCAACAAAGCGTTACGTGAACTCTTCAGTATTTTATGGTGCAAATTTTTACAGTGATGGGTATGTTATGATATAGTTTCTTACATATAGATTTCAATGATCCCAGCTCTGATCGGCAACACAAGCTTTTAACTGATATCCGTTTTTCTCATCCTTGGAGAATCTGTCTTTAGAGTCAGTATTGTTTCTAAAGGTGATAAGTTCACGGAGTCACTTTTTGTTCTTTGCTGAACTATAAAGTCACTTTGTGGTTTACTTAAATCCCTTTCATCAGTATTAGTTACTGTCTGAAGTTGCACAATGTCATGTTGTTCTGTTGTGGGAGGCATAGTATATGGCTTCATAGTCGAAGTTGAGTCAACGATGAAATTACCTATCATATCCTCGTGTCCATAAAATGTGTCCATCCCACTCTTAACAGTTTTATTACGCTTGACATATGTCTCTGACATAGACAATCCTCCTACCTTATTTTTGCTTAATTTGAAGTTTCCAAGTATTTGTGAATCCGGATCACTTTTCCGTTTTCTGTTCTGCTTCGTAGTATGAGCAGTATCTTTGCTGTGAATATTGCCAAATCCATAAGATTCTCTGGTCGGTTCTGACGTTGACACAATTCCTTCTTTTTTTGTTCCTTTAAAAAGAGATTTTTCATGTTGTTCTGTATCAGGAATAGACACTTTAGGAATCGCAGTAGTCGTGATTTTCACTGTTGACCGTGCTATGAAATTTCTAATACCATAAATCTTGCGTAATATCCTAGCTATCGATGAAACATGTCTTCTTGGCCCTGTCTTATCTGTTTCAGACAGGCCTGCGGCAGTAGCAGACAAACCATTTCTAACTGTAGAAACAACTGGTTGCACTGTTGAAGAAATCGTAGAATTCGAGCGTTTCGTGAAAATTGGTATTTTAACGACTGCGTCAATGTTGGTTGGAAAATTACCAGAGGTCGAATCAGTGATATCAGATATATCAAAAGGGGTTGTTCCCACAGCTCCATTTGTTGGACTTTGAGCAGTTTCTGTGGTGACGTTCTTTGTAGTTTTTTGTCGTAGATCGTTAATATCAGTTTTTACATTAATGCTTTCTTGTTCAACCATTGGCTGATTGAGTATTTTACTCAGATTTGCAGTTGCTTCTCTAAGTGAATCAGTGTTGTCTGGTTTGTTTTCTGAAGGGATTTGTGTTTCTGTTTGCGTCGAAGAGACCGGTTGTCCGTTGTTCTCTTTCCTTGCAGCAAGTTCACTCTTGGTTGATGACAGTATATTTTGGACATAGACAAGCAATGTTTTTAATTTCTCTAAAGTGGTAATTGCAGTATCTTGTGCTAAAGTATGAGTATCATTCTTTTTTACGTCAAATGACTTGTCAGATTTTTCTAAATGCTTGTTCTGATCCGTCGGTGGTATTCGTGGAGTTATTTCAGTTACATGAATTGTTTGTACACCGCTGCTGATTTTAAATGTAGAACTGGCTGACTCCGTCACTTCCTGGTCACTTTTAGTGTCAAGTAGAGAATCATGCTTTGTATCTGTTTCGGCAATAGTGGATCCCGCTGCTGTAGAAACAGTGGTCTTTAAACTGCTTTTTTGTTGTTCGGCATTTGTCGCTGTGTCCAGGGGAAGGAATTTCTTGTACACAGCAGCTGTCAGATAGAAATGTTCCTCTGGTAGGTCTGAATTTAGTTTGGAAGATCCTGGTGTGACGGTTTCTCCTACCATTTCAACATCTGTTTTTTTAACAGTTTTTATGGAATTGGAATTTCCGGATGACTCTAGTGATTGTGTTTTACTTACTACTGAATGTTCAACAGCTGGCGATGTTTGATTTACTGCTTCTGAGGTGGAAGTGAACGTTGGCGGTGAAAATGCACCAATATGAGGTTCTACATTTGCCTTAGAAATTGACGAACTTGTTTTGGTAAGAACAGATATTGCAGAATCTGTGGTGATATTGTTCTTTACACTCTGAACCAACACTATGTCGCCAAGGGTGGATTTTGTCTCATTATCTTCTTTCTGTAAAAAGTTTTTACTTAGTACAAGGGCCATATTTTCCCTTGGGGATTTGTCAAAATCTGGTTCGAATCCTGACACCAGCCATCGATTAGCATCGTCTACAGTGCTTTTTACAGTTTTAGATGTAACTGGTAATGAGGATTTCGTATTTCGATCACGCCAGAATTGTGGAGCTGACCTTGCGATATCCATTTTGGGTTTGTGATTTACATCGCCTGTTTGAGCAGTAATGGGCACATCTCTGATAAAAATTTCACCGTTTGATAACGGCATGAAACTTGCTACCGAATCAGCAATATTTGAAGAACTGACTTCACTGTTTCTTAGCACCGGAATTTCTATGGCCGCCTGGGGACTTGAATCATGTTTGTTTTTTGAATTTCCAATTATTATTTTAGTTATAACAGTTGTCGCTAAGCCAGATTTCATTTTTGTCCCTGCCTTTTCGGATTCTGATTTATTGGATGCTTTAACTGTAGTTGTAGTCTCTGTGGTTTTATTTATAGATGTAGTACCGGAAGTGATTTTAGTTTTGGGTTTACTTATCATTCTCATGGCTCCATTTTCAGTCATTTTCTTGCTCGGTTTCGGCTGGTGTGGTGGTTTAGTAGTTTTCCGCTGTGCAGTGTCGATAACAATGGTGGGTTTAACTATGTGTGTAACTGATTTTGATTTGGTACCCGTGTCGGTTCCTACAACATCTGCATTGGAATGTTGTCCTAACGTTTCTACAGTTTGAATAATAGGATTCCTAGTGGTGACTTTTGAATCAACTGTTTTTGAAGATGCACTTTCAGAGTCCAGCTTAAGCTTCCCGCTCGTCTTGCTGATCCTTTTGTTGGTAGATGTGTTATCCACACTAGGAATATCAGACGTATTATCAGCGTTGGCTTTTCCAGAAAGAGACGTGTTTTTACTCTGATTGCCATTGATTGTAACACTAACGCTGCCGTTTCCTGTGTTATTGGATGTTACTCCGGGGGCAGCAGTGCTCACAGGTTCACTTCTAGACTCGACAAGGATGTTTTTCATTTTCTTCTCTTCAATTTTCGCTGGTTTAACAGGTGGAACTTTGCTAGGCAAAAGAACACGCTTATTTTTCTTCCCTTCATTAGCTGTATTAGAAGTTGACGAGCCCCCGTTACCATTAGTCCTCAATCCTTTAAACAATTTCATAATGACACCTACTGCCGGCTTTTTCTGTGCTGGCGAATTTGAATCGCCATTGCCATTGCCGTCATCATTCCCGTTGTCATTACCATTGCCGTGTCCGTTATATTCTTCAATTGCGTCTATCTTAATTTGACAATGTCTTCCTTTGTAATACTTTGTACATTGACAGTAACCTTCACAACCTTTACCTGATATACAAGTGCCGCCATTCATACAAATATCAGGAAACAAATCACAAAACTTTTTGTCACAAGCCATCAGAGGTTTTTCTACAGCACCTGGCGGTTTTGTTTTTGTATCCGGAACAGGTGATCCAGACAAGCTAATGACAATATTAAATAATATGTAGAGTATAATCATTTTGTTTTGGAACATGGTTTTAAAATCCATTCTGTCAGCTCCGTGGGTTTATGACAGGGAATTCATACAGGCTGTACGTTGTATAGATCGTATTTTCTAGTCGTTCTGACGTGTTGAAGCCATATGAAGTACTGGCACGCTAGCAGGATATATCTGTAACACAACAAAAAACGGATATTAATATTTCATATTGCATGTTTTGAAACGTCACATAAATATAAAGGATTTCCAACCAAATATTCATTATCATTTATGTAAGTAACATATACAATATACATGTACATGCTAGATAGCCATCTAATAATGGCAAAACTTTTTCGTAAAAATAATACGAAGAATGAGAACAAGTCTACTTTTTATTCACAATGTTTAAGTTTGTATCACATGCCTACCAATCAATTTCTATCCAAATAACTTATATCAAAGAAAAACTTCAGCTTTGCATTTTCTGATAATGTGTTACTTGACCTGATGGATTAGGATATTTATCATGGTTCATTGCATTCTGAAATTGATTCCAAATATTTCTGTATTTTAAATAAAAAAAAGTTTTTCTTCTCGATTTTTATTGTGCACTGATTTACAAGTAAACACAAAACAAAGACTGTTTAACATACCGTATCCACTACGTGTTAACTTTAAAATGTTTACCTGAATTTAAATACCGTGACTTTAAATACAAGGGCGTTCCGAAATCGTATCAATTATACTTTGTCAATGAACGACAGGGGATGAATAATAAAAAAGGTTCCTGTTGCCTTAAAATTATGAAAATATATGATAAAAAAACCAATTGATATATTAATGTATAATTTGCGTATTTTGTAATTTGTAACGTAAAGAATATAAAACAGCACACTCAAGCAATGTGCATAAGTACTGCTGTTATCTACATAATCAATAGCATTAGCGCCAAACAATGTGAAATCTGATGCTTAAAATTTCCCAGGAGTGATTCCTGAAAGAAACATTTGTTTATTCTAGTGTTTTTTAGTTCCTCCGACAGGAGATATGGGATAGTGTCAACGGATGAAAAACCAATCATTGCTACTTTTATTATGCCATCACACTGAAAGAGCATCTGGATACAGCAGCTGAGTGAAGTTAACCTGAAGGTAGTATGTACCAAGAATATAGCCCTTGGTGTGTCTCACAGTCAGTTGGTCTTCATCACTGGGGAATACACTTAATAATATTGCCAAAAAGCACAATGATATCAAAAATGATGTTGTGGAAAATGCTAAGGTCAGAAAAAATGTAATAGAAGGAAAGCAAAGAAATGCTGGGGTCGAAAGCACGGTTATACCATGGAAAGGCATTTTGAGAAAATGCTATTGTAGAAAGAGCGGTAATAGAAGGCTGGGGTCGAAAGCACGGTTATACCATGGAAAGGCATTTTGAGAAAATGCTATGGTAGAAAAAGCGGTAATAGAAGACTGGGGTCGAAAGCACGGTTATACCATGGAAAGGCATTTAGAGAAAATGCTATGGTAGAAAGAGCGGTAATAGAAGGCTGGGGTCGAAAGCACGGTTATACCATGGAAAGGCATTTAGAGAATATGCTATTGTAGAAAGAGCGGTAACAGAAGGCTGGGGTCGAAAGCACGGTTATACCATGGAAAGGCATTTAGAGAAAATGCTATGGTAGAAAGAGCGGTTATACCATGGAAAGGCATTATACCATGGAGAAAATGCTATGGTAGAAAGAGCGGTAATAGAAGGCTGGGGTCGAAAGCACGGTTATACCATGGAAAGGCATTTAGAGAAAATGCTATGGTAGAAAGAGCGGTAATAGAAGACTGGTCTCGAACGCACGGTTATACCATGGGGATTGTTAATAGAAACGTTTAAGTAAAAACAATAGTAATACAGAGAAAGCATTGGAGAAAATACTGATGTCAAATGAATAGTACAAGGAAGGAGCTGGGGACAATGCTAAGGTCAAAAGCACGTCAATCCCAAGGAAAGATTTAAGGTAACTGTTAAGGTCAAGTAATAAAAGCTAATACATATACATGTCAAATATATCTGTCGTGTCCGAAATTAGAAAGTACGAAAACGAATACCAATGTAGAGGTTTCCACATAAGTCGCCTCTTTTGTACATAATCTATATTCCTTTCTCAATTGTTAGCCTACGGAACCAAATATTCTGGAGAGTTTTTCTTTACTGCACACGAGATCGAGTATCTGAACGATAAACAAAAAGCCTGCACTATGGGATTATGTGATTATGACACAGTTTACATAGATAATAGCGTAGGTAAATAATTGTAATCTCAGTACAACATCTACATAACCATACATGTTACCAAAGAAAACTTTGCTATGGCAATAAATTGTAGTTGATAGATATATAACAATCAATCAAGTCATCCAGTAAAGATATTTACAGACGTAACTATTATATCAAAAACACTTTCAAACATCTGTCATGACCAGTATCGTTAACGATTCGATATCCACGCCTTACACGTGACCCAACCGTCAAATGACTGAGGTCAGTGTAACGGTCGACCTGGAGAGAGTGGCCGGTCACGTGATCCTGCTATTAACCTATTTAAAGATTAATGTGTATTCACGAAGAAGGTGATAAATACTGTAATGCTATTTTTACCTATATGGGAATTAGTAATGACAGTACAGGTAAGAAAAAATGTCCCGAACTGTCAACTACTTATCAGAGAGAAGGTCACTCCCACTGTTGACCACACTTACGATGTGTACACAATGTTGGCTGAACAACTAGGTGTCTCAATTATAGTACAATTACGATAGACATACTGTGGTTAGCACGACTGTAAGGATGTCACTACTCAATTGTCTAAAGCATGATAAAAATGTAAGGCGGATGTTTTGTCTTTGTTTTTTTCCCCCTTATCCATCAGATAGAAGTTTTATATAGTAACTTAGTGACCACAGAACGGTCGTTTCCTTTTCTTTATGTTATAATAACAAACAGAAACGTTTTATTTTGTTATGAAAGAGCTTCCCTGAACTGTCTGTAACAACACATGATAGTTCCACGATATATCCATAACAACTGTCTTTAATGAACCGGCGTACAGGAATGTCTGCTGACACATTAATCGTACCTTTTGTATCAATCGACGGGATAACAGCTTCATCGGTTTCTAGTTTCTAATGCCATTATGATGTTGTTTTTTGTTTTTGTTTTCTTTTTGTTGTTTTTGTTTTTTGTTTTCCTAGAATACTGACATGATTACCAAAGCAATAGTTATAGAATGAGGATAACAGTTGAATTTTGTATAAGTCTAATCAAATACTATTTTCACGGTAAAACCAGAAACATACGAAATCGGCAAATTGAAAAAATTGCAACGTGGTAAAGTAAAAAATTCTGCCTCTGGCAAACACGAACTCGATAAAGTGAAAACTCGAACCCAAAAATCAATAGGATTCTACATTTAACCCAGTCAAAGAAAAGTTATATTCTCATGACAATGACCGGATTGTTAACAATAAAACTACCGGAAGGATTCTATAAAAACGTTAGCACTGAAGTGTGTATCAACAAATTAGCCATACAGTTTTCAATTAATTGATACGTTGTGTGCTGTTTTCGATTGATTGTGTATTAATGTATATATTTAACTTTTTTAAAAAAATTACTATGAAATGAAGATTAGTTTATTTTACGTTTTAAGAATAAGTAAACAATCAGATAAACGGGTGAATTTAATTGTGTAAATGTATATTTTTGTCCCAGGTTGTAGGATATTGGTAAATTAACTACAGTTCCTTAGATAAAAATGATTTCCTGTAAATGTTAGAATCTGAACGACAAAGGTAGGATAATGTAGTTATAATAAACATAAACAAAAACAATTGTCTGTATGAAAAAAAAACCAAACCAATAAAAACGACGTTTCACGGTATAAAAATCAGTGATAATGTCAGTTACATAAAGGCATCATGTGTTGTGAGATCAACATGCTGTGTGACATGTGTTCAGTGGTTAACAGGTCGTGTGACATGTATTCAGTGGTTAACATGCTGTGTGACATGTATTCAGTGGTTAACAGGTTGTGTGACATGTATTCAGTGGTTAACAGGTTGTGTGACATGTATTCAGTGGTTAACATGTTGTGTGACATGTATTCAGTGGTTAACATGTTGTGTGACATGTATTCAGTGGTTAACAGGTTGTGTGACATGTATTCAGTGGTTAACAGGTTGTGTGACATGTGTTCAGTGGTTAACATGTTGTGTGACATGTATTCAGTGGTTAACAGGTTGTGTGACATGTATTCAGTGGTTAACAGGTTGTGTGACATGTGTTCAGTGGTTAACATGTTTTGTGACATGTATTCAGTGGTTAACAGGTTGTGTGACATGTGTTCAGTGGTTAACATGCTGTGTGACATGTATTCAGTGGTTAACAGGCTGTGTGACATGTGTTCAGTGGTTAACATGTTGTGTGACATGTGTTCAGTGGTTAACATGTTGTGTGACATGTATTCAGTGGTTAACATGCTGTGTGACATGTATTCAGTGGTTAACATGCTGTGTGACATGTATTCAGTGGTTAACATGTTGTGTGACATGTGTTCAGTGGTTAACATGTTGTGTGACATGTGTTCAGTGGTTAACATGTTGTGTGACATGTATTCAGTGGTTAACATGTTGTGTGACATGTATTCAGTGGTTAACATGCTGTGTGTGTATTCAGTGGTTAACATGTGTTGACATGTATTCAGGTTAACATGTGTGTGACATGTGTTCAGTGGTTAACATGTTGTGTGACATGTGTTCAGTGGTTAACAGGTTGTGTGACATGTATTCAGTGGTTAACATGTTGTGTGACATGTATTCAGTGGTTAACAGGTTGTGTGACATGTGTTCAGTGGTTAACATGTTGTGTGACATGTGTTCAGTGGTTAACATGTTGTGTGACATGTATTCAGTGGTTAACAGGTTTTGTGACATGTGTTCAGTGCTTAACATGTTTTATGACATGCGTCACGTAATCAACATGTTGCATGACAAGCATCACGTGATCAACTTGTG